CTGCGGCACTTGTTCTTCTTCCCTTTCTCTCTCTCTCTCTCTCTCTCTCTCTCTCTCTTCTCTCTCTCTTACTCTCTCTCTCTCTCTCTCTCTCTTTCTCTTTCTCTCTCTCTCTCTTTCTATCTTTCTCTTTCTCTCCCCATCTCTCTGTCTCTCTCCCCCGCCCTCACTCTTTTTCTCAAAACATTAATTACTCTCACAGAAAATCCACCTAACACTCTCTCTCCTATCTCTCTCTCTCTCTCTCTCTCTCTCTCTCTCTCTCTCTCTCTCTCTCTCTCCTATCTTTCTCTTTCTCTCCCTCCCTCTCTGTCTCTCTCCCCCGCCCTCGCTCTTTTTCTCAAAACATTAATTACTCTCACAGAAAATCCCCCTAACACTGAATTCTCGCCAACTTCTCCAATTTCTGGTTTTTTAGGTGCCGAACCGCGACCTGTTTTATTTGCCCCGGTTCAGCCATAGTACGGACTAGAGCGTGACCTACAATCACCAACCTGTTTCAGGCAGTGATCCGGAGATACCATCTTATTGATGTACGTCGTGTCGACAAGTTCTACTTTCACTTTCAGCAGCAATTCTAGATCTATACTGCTGTGTTTGGATCCGACAGCGGGTGATGCGTTTTCCGTGTTCCTGTCTGATGCGACCACCCGATCACTCGTGGATCACCAGTAGTCGATAGCCGAGAATAAATCGTAGAAACCGTAAAAAAAGTGCAATGAATTTCGGATTGTGGAGAGCATGACGTGTCTTTATATACTCAGGTGAACTCGTGTATCGTCAGCATAGACAGAGTGTGACTGTACAGATTACTGTAGGAGCTCTCTCTCTCTCTCTCTCTCACACGCACGCACGCACGCACGCACGCACGCACGCACGCACACACACATTCTCTCTCTCTCTCTCTTCCTGCCTGGTTAGTATTTATTTGCAAACACTGGCGATCATTGACTGTCAATCAGCTACCATTTCTGTCCTTCACCTAGAATCGCCATTGATCACCTGTGATTACGATTGATCACCTACGATCACGATTCACCCTTGAAACAAGTGAACACCGATATTGATAATTGACCTCAGGTTAATCAGTGTTGATCTCTCTGACTGACTGAGTATGTTTGGAGCTGTATAGAATAAGAAATATGAACATGTTCTGTAAGATTTTGCTCGTCTGCTGGTGCGTGGTTTGCGCGTGGAGTGGAGCAGACGCCTCCTCCTCTACTCATCCGCTGCTGCTGATCGTGTCGTTCGACGGGTTCCGATACGACCAGCTGGATAAGACGGACACACCAAACTTTGACGCCCTGATTGCAGATGGAGTGAAAGCCAAGTGGATGGAAGCCTCCTTCCCCACGAAGACTTTTCCAAACCATTACACGCTTGCGACGGGTGAGTTGGGAACTTGTATGTGTTACAGGTGTTAGTTAAGTCTATTTCAGGACCATAATAATGGGGTAGGCTTAGGGTTAATAGGATTAGGGGGCGTTAATCAACTGACATATCTGTATGGGTGGGATAACCATGTCTTTTAGAACGTCCTTTCACGACAGCGATTGGCTACCTGTTTGTCAAGCACGCCAGGTGGATCGATCTATTTCCCGGGTCAGTTGGACCAGTCCGATCCCCGTCAGTTGGATTAGTTGCCAGGTGTTCCTGGACCTGATGTTTTGCATGCGGCGCCCATCTAGTGACCTGCTCACAGTCGAGTCTTGAGTGTCAATGCGGTGGCGCCCCCTATCTGCAGGTCTGTACACGGAGTCGCACGGAATTATCGCCAACAAGTTCTACGATCCTGACCTTAACGCGACCTTCAGCTCGGCGACAGGAATGAACGTCTCCCATTGGTGGGACGCCGGCGGCGAGCCGATCTGGGTGACCAATCAGAGATGCGGCCGCGCGAAGGAGGCGGAGCCTGGCTGCCGCTCACGCCGCAGTGGCGCCTTTGCATGGCCTGGCTCTGGGAGCGAGGTCAAAGGTCAGCGTCTGCACCGTCACGCACCGTACGACTTTGTGCGTCCGTTCCTCGACCGAGTTGACACGGTCGTATCGTGGTTCACGGACGCGGACAAACCGGTCAACATGGCGCTCCTGTACTTTCACGAACCGGACAGCGCGGGACATCAGTACGGTCCCTACTCACCAGCGGTCAGGGCGATGATTGAGGCGGCGGACAACGTGACCGGTTACCTGGTGAAGAAGCTGCGAGAGCGAATTTTTGGGATCGCGCTTTCTCACCTGCTATATATTTATGTGTCAGTGTGCGCGCAATGGCGGCGGCGTGTGTCTACAGTTGAAACGCTTCAAGTGCCTGTGGTTCTAGCGACACACGAAGACCGACCAAGACCAGAATTATGTCAATCAATGAGATTCATATTACACGTGTGAAAGACGTTATGTGCATATGTTATGTGCATATGTGCAGATGTTATGACATATTTGCATACAATGTGCTAATTACGTATTTGTTTATTCGCTGTGGCTATATGCCCGGCAGCCGGGCACGGTCTTCGATTTCCTAAATGCCCGGCAGTTCCTAACCCTAACCCTAACCCTAACTCTGACCCTAATCCTGACCCTAATTCTAACCCTAACCCTAATCCTGACCCTAACCCTAATCCTAACCCTAACCCTTGTTTACTTGAGATAACGCTAAAAATTAAAAACTGCCGGGCATTTAGGAAATCGAAGACCGTGCCCAGCAGCCGTCAGATATATGCCGGCTGCCGGGCATATAGCCACTCTGTTGTTTATTGGTTAATTAAATGGTTTGTTGGTTTGTTGTTGTGTTGACAATCTTGTGCATCACCGTCTGGCAGTCTTGTGACGCACGTCAGTAACAAACGCGGAAGTCGCTTCCCACACGTCACTAACTCACCCGTCGCCAGCGTGTAATGGTTTGGGAATGTCTTCGTGGTGAAAGCGGCTTCCATCCACTTGGCTTTCACTCCATCTGCAATCAGGGCGTCAAAGTTTGGTGTGTCCGTCTTATCCAGGTAGTCGTATCGGAACCCGTCGAACGACACGATCAGCAGCAGCGGATGAGTAGAGGAGGAGGCGTCTGCTCCACTCCACGCGCAAACCACGCACCAGCAGACGAGCAAAATCTTACAGAAAATGTTCATATTTCTTATTCTATACAGCTCCAAACATACTCAGTCAGTCAGAAAGATCAACACTGATTAACCTGAGGTCAATTATCAATATCGGTGTTCACTTGTTTGCTCATGACACATCACACGATTGCTAGACTGGTACTCGCTCCCACTTTCATTAATCGATAGGCCGAGAAGTGGGACCGGGTACCAGTCTACACGATTGCCTGATCATCGTGACGTCATCCGACGGCGACTAATCACATTATAGTTATGGCGGCGCCCAGACATTGTTTACTTCTACTTCTACTTCTACGCTATATTGGCCACAGACGTCCATAGTGTGGTAGGGGTGGGTCTGAGACAAGGCTTTCACGGATAAGTGACCAAAAAATCACGTTAGGGTTATTTACGATTATTAGCTATGTTTATTTTTTTAATTTTTCTCCAAAATCTAGGGGGGCAGCTGCCCCCTGCCCCCCTCCCCCCCGTACAGGCTACGGCCCTCATTCATTCATTACGATACTGCACCTAAGCTTATACAATAACAAATAACAGCTTTGGATCGGTTGAGATTTTTGCTTTTCGTTTTTAGCAGCATGGCGACGATCGCAAAGTGAAACGCCTCTTAGTGAAAATGGCGTCGTCTGTAGTGTGTGGCGCCCCCTGACGAGGTAGCTGCTGCAATGTAATGTGACGCTCTTGTGTTTGTAGCGATCATGGGATGGCGTCCGTTCACCCGAATTTAACGATAATGCTGGACGACTACATCGACAGCGCCACCTACAGGGGAGAATCGATTCCGGGTTCCGTCGCACTTATCTACCCCATGGCAGGTAGCGCTCTCTGGTGGTGCAGGTCGCTGTCAAACGGGTGGGCAATAGTGGGGTTCCTTTTTCATGATGGCCCATCCACACTCATGCATGCACTCACGCACGTACGCACACGCACACGCATGTACAGACAGACACCCACACACGCACGCACACACACACACACACACACACACACACACACACACACACACACACATACACACGCACGCACGCACGCACGCACGCACACACACACACACACACACACACATACGCACACACACACCTTGAAGCTATTCGGAGATGACACTGACAAGCTAGCATGCGCGCACACATATCTATACATATGAAGCTGTCGATCAGCACCTGACTCTTCTGCTGCTGTGTCTGCAGGAGAGGAAGATACGATCTACGAACAGTTGAGTAAGCTGGATCACATCACGGCGTGGCGCAAACGTGACGTTCCCTCCTACTACCACTACAGCAACAACCCGCGCATCGCTGACATCGTGGTGATGGCCGACGAACACTGGGCCATCGCCACCAACGCCGTGAGTCTCAGCATGAGTCGACCCTGGTTTCCAAACCCCTATAAGGGTGAGTGAGTTAACCACCATCTAGTCAGTCAAATTAAAATAAATTAAATTAAATTAACTTTATTTACACTTATGAATTACATTTTGGAGGTAACATATTAGCAGGAGTGAATAATAATGGATTATTATTATTATTATTATTATTATTATTATTA